AATTTATTTGGCTGATTTGCGAATGTGTACACACTCTTCTCTTGGTTGAATGAGAGTTTTTTCTATCACCTAAAAGGCATACCAATGACCCGACTAGCATCTGTGATGAAGTATGAAAGATAAGATATGACGTCTGATATCGACAATACGAATATAAGATACATAACGAAGGACTAGAGTTTTGAATATCTCTGATCGTCATATGTGTATCGAGTAATTAATAATAGTCTCGACTTGACAGGCCAAGGTTGCACATAACTTCTCCTTTCCAAGCACCAGCCTTCTCCCAACTTGCACTTTTGCAATGATTCCCAAAATCTTCCATGGAATGATGACGGTTTCGGTCAAATTGATTAGCCCCATAGCTCCCTGTCCAACACAGGCGGACTCAGGGTCGGAAAATCGCTTTAAACCTACTAGTCAGACCTGATCAGCAGCGTCGCCACGCGAGACATCAAAATTACGGTCGATACGGATCCCGATGCTATTTCTGCTCTTGTGATTGGGTTCGGACGAATTTAGAGGAATGCCGTCCATGTCCTTGCTTTTCGTGTCCGACCACACACTCATCTGGCGGCTCCTATCAAATGCGGTGGAGCTCCCTCCAGCAGCTGAAGCAGATTCTGCAACATAGAGATCGTTCCTGATAAATCGCTGGCGAGCATTGGAATTCCTGGAGGCAACTTGTTGGTCGCTCACTACTCCCGCCCAGATTGCTGACAGTGGCAGGAAGATGCAAACGACTGTGAGGACATGACCGATAATCTCAGGAAGAACGGTGGCAAACCGAAACTGCAAAGTAGAGACAATTGCTACGAGTATATTAGCTTGGTCCGAAATTCAATATCAACGTATGAAAAGTACCTGGAATCAACATGGTTTGACAACCCATGATAAATACGACCTGCATTGGCCCAAACTGAGGCATATTTAAACGGCGCCTTTGAATGATAGCGCAGCCGAGCTTGAAGGTGAATACGCAGCTGTAAAGCCAGATTGCAACAGCCTGTAGTATGTATGAGAGCGATACTAGTTCCTCGATGGAGTCTCCATTCTGATATGACAGTGTCAATCTGATATTGTAGTACACCGCGGCAACTCTGTATCCAAACGAGACGCTGGCCATGATGGTGGTGACAGCCATGATTACGTTGCGCTGCAGAGCAGATGTAGTGACGCAGGCGATCCACACCTGGAGACCGAGTGAGGCGAAGATTAGGGCATTGACTAAGATACCCAAGACATTAGTGGTGATTTGAGTTCCGAAGTCTCTTTTGGTGATGTGGCTCCAGTCCTGAGCGAGGACAGAATAGGGATTATAAAAATTGCCAGTGACCCAGGCGCAAAATAGGAGACAACGGATCGCGTTGAGGAGGACGCAGGTGGTATTGAGGACAAAAACGAAAGACTTTCTTCGATCAGGCTTAGTCATGAGTAAGAGGATCAGGAATAGCATCAAAGATGCTCCGAAACCGGTTCCGTAACTGATTGCGAGACGAAATCCGTAATAACGGTATTGGTCGAGGTCCATCATATTCCGCGTCACTATGACCCATCCACCTTGGCCATCGGGGACAGTCACGTTCAGATCCTGGCGCCAAGGATCAAAGTTGAGTGGAACTTGAACGTGCTCCGGCGGGACGTCCATGGTAGTTTGTAGCCTTTAGTGTTATCGTCCAAGAATGTGGTGATGGAAGGGTGCCGGAGGTTGACCTTGTGTGGCAAGATCTCGAGATGGGTATTGGATTCGAAAATCAAGATACGGCAGTCACACTTATGATAAAAGATGAGGGTTTAAGACTTGGGTTACAGCGTGCAACTTGAGATCTGATGTGGTTGGAATGAAAGATAGAAGTAAGCAATGGCTGGAGAGGAGTTGTGAGGTCCTGCAGCAACGATAGGTACATGTCAGGCGGAGTAGTAGATATAATAGCTAGTAGGAGGCAGAAAAATTTCCCAACATCCTGTTGCTAAGTATTGTAGTTGACGAGGTGACCGGGAGAGGCGCGTTTGGTTCGTAGACAATAGCAACTGTAGTCATAGTACGGAACTGATGTGCTACCTCGACTCACCACACTCATGGTCCAGAACCCAAACGGAAGTACTTTTTGGTGGGCATAGATGCCCCTGCTATTGTTCTCTAGCTCGTCTACTGTGCACGTCGAATTTCTCGCTACGACAAGTCCCAGTTTTGTGACGCAAAGCCAATCTTCTTTGCTGTTGCTCTTCTCCTGTCTTAATTCGGGTCGCAGGGCTACATAAGAGTTGGTTAAAAGCCATCGGTTATGCAGACGGGGAGCGGAGAGTGACAGTGACAATGTAGCGCAAGATCCGTTACTATTGTTCTTCGACTCAGCCCCCACTCATGTTCTGACACCTGGCGCATCGTGTGACAAATTACATGTAAATAACTAGCGATCGTATCCAATATGTCTTGTGTGAAGGACAACCAGTTTGTACTCCTGGGACCATGGTACCAACACGCACTTGTGCCTTAGTGTGAGAGGGTGAAGAGGCAGTGCTTGGAGACATAGGGATATACGGAGTAGTACTGGTTCGTGCGATCCAATCAGCGCCAACGAGGCCCCGCTTATTTCTGCACGTCATCGCGAGCTTAAGTGTTCTGAACCTCACAACGTGACCGCGCGTTCACCATCGATTTCGCCACGACGCGTCGAACAACTCCACAATGTGGACTCTCTCAACGAGCCTTGTTGGTGCTGCGGGCTCGAACGAATTCAGCCTGCAAAATGAAGGGACTGCACATATTGTCGGGAGTGCAAACTCTAGCAATGTCGAGGTGGTTCGCGTGCTAAACCCAGATACGCAACGGGAACTTGGCCGAATGGGTATGCTCTCCCCCCTTCTATTTTCCCTGCATAATCCCTTACATTGCTAGTTGTCGGGCCGTTTGGAGTGAAGTTGGAAGCAATTACCGACAAGTTGATCATAACACCCGGTCAATCCCACGCAGCTTCTCCGTCATCCGCCAAGTTTGAGTTACAGCCACGCAATGACAGCCACTCAGAAGCAATCTTTCTTCGTCATGGAGATGTACTACACTTTCCATCATCAAAATCGAATCTCATGTGCCAATGGACCGACTCTGAGATTCAAGTCAACTCGTCGGCAGCTCCCTATCGTGGCGTAGTTCAAACTCCAGAGGATGAAACTGAGGATGAGAGTTTGGACAAGTCCCCTGCTGCAGTTGTAACCCAGAATAGAAATTCTGGGCCTCGAGCGACTCCACAGCTCTCACATCAACAGTCTTTGGTCATCCAGGAGACTCCAACAGCAGCTCGAGTGAACAGCGCGTCAAATTGCCCGCCAGCAGATATCAACCCATCTGACTTCGCTTATGATACAAGAGGGCCGGTAAAAGACACGTCCCTTCCTTCACGGGAGCCCGAAGCAGAATTGGAGCCAGTACCAGAGACCTTTTCTACTGCCCGCACAGGCGAGTCGCAGGGCAAGGGACCGGCACCTCAAAGTGCGAATGGCCCTTCACCAGCAGATGCACCCGCTACCAGATTAGTTGCCAGCAAAGACGGGCTTTCACTTGGCACGACCAGCAAAACCTCTCCACAGGTTCAAATTCCGCCGAGATCGGCCAGGAAACGCAGCACCTCTGCTGTGAAGGAGGGTTCAGAATCTGAGCACGATGCGCTCGCATCGGCTCCCAAGCGTGCAAAAACAGGCAAAAATGAAGAAGCAAGAGACGCTCGGTTGAGCAGTGTCGACACAGCATCACAAAAGTCTAGCAGAAAGGGAAAGAAGCGCCGCACCGAAGCACTCGATGAGGCAGAAGAGCATGCTTTGACGCGATCTCCGCTGAGCACCCAGCAATCAACACATGCCTCAACGGAAGCCTACGATGGACCCACACCGAAGGTGGCTTCCAGCAACTCTACCATTACAAAATCAAGTCAGGCTGTCAAGTTTCTCAAAAAGCAGGGCGGAGTATATGTGGAAAAACTGACTGACGACTTCAACATACTATGGTAAGCTTAAGTATGTTCTGCAACGTGCAATTTGCTAATACAATATAGTGTTAGAGATGGTGAGCTTCAGAAGAAGACTAAAGTACTATACGCCATTGCTCGTGGAATTCCTATTGTCACAGACATGTGGCTCTTGGACTCGGCAAAGGAGGGGCGTATACTCCCATTGTCTGGTTACAAGCCCTCCACTTCCAAGCAAGAAGCAGAGTGGAAGTTCACGTTCGATAATGTGTTTGGCCAACCGCAAACGCCTTTCGAGGGATACAACATCCACTTCACCAAGAGTCTCAAGGCTGTATATGAGTCGTTTTCCGAAGTTGCAGCAGTATGCAAGGCTGCAGGCGCGAACAACGTCACGTCCACAAGGATGAATACAACCGGCGACAACATTGTACTTGCAAACAACTACGATGACGATCTGGAAGCCCAGAAGCTGATGAAGGACGGCGTAACCTGCTACACGAAGGACCTTTTTACCTACAGCATCTTCCGCGGTTCTGTCGACCTCGAGAGTGATGAGTTCAAAATCAAAGCACCTGATGATAGTACACCGTCAAAGGAGAAGAAGAAGCGGGGCCGAAAGAGCACGTAGGATACGAGATTCGCGATTATGCTGACGGAACGTGACCACGTGTATAAGCATTTCACCGTATTTTTGTCATCAACGAGCAAGCTTACAATTTGGCTGTACACAGCCAACGCAGGCCAACGCCCATCCATTACATATACCCCAGGCGTCTCGCTTGTGTCCACAGCGACGGACGTACTGTTCTAATGCAGCTTAGTGTCTTCCACCAATATATTATGGTGTGTTCTCATGTTCTGTATAAGCGAGTCGACCCACTTCCTGCCCCCCCCCCCCCCCCCCCCCCCCGCTCTGCCACAACCGTCCTGTGCACGTCTATGAGAACAGTTTATTTTTGAGAAACATATCCTTTCCAAATTGTCGAACATCCATCAATCACATGACAACCAGCCACGAGCAGCATCTGCTCAACATCCTCCGTGGCGCAATTGGCTAGCGCGTCTGACTGTTACAGCTCATTGTAGTGATCAGGAGGTTGGAAGTTCGAGCCTTCCCGGGGGAGCAGCTTTTTTTGTCTGGGTGTGATTGTTGGGAGATGGGTGATTTTTTTGTTGGTATAAAACGTGGGGGAAGCGTTGGCGTGGCGGGGCGTTAGCGTGGGATTTCAGTTTAGAACTTGGGGCGGAACAAGCTGGCTGTGACCTGGCGGCGTGATGTTTTTGCAAGACAGGTTTGAAAGTCAGGCGTAACAGAGGACAGTGTCTTGAAGGTTTCAGGTGCCTTGGTGATGTCACTACTTCGCTATGTTTGCGCTGGATATATTCATTTGGGGCGGCACGTCGTTGCAATACCCCTTCCATGTGCGTTTTTGTCACACACGTTCCAGAAGTGATCTGGTATTGATGCCTCTCGGCTTGCTCGCGGTGTAGTTTACCATGACAAAGCAGTGCTACTCTCGCGCCACTTCCTTGGGCCTCGTTACTTCAGGTGCACGATAGTTGTCTTCTGACAGGGGCTTAAACCGAGGACCGGGAAACTCGCAAAAGTTGTGCTGAATGCGGAAGTCAGAACGGCCAAGATATGCGGCTGAAGGCAGTGCGCCTATCGCCCTGGGGCTAAGCCAAGCAAAGTAGCGAAGAATGGATCCTCTAAGATGCAGGAAAATAAGCCCATTGGTTACCGGCTCCTCGAAGACTGATATCCCGTCTTACCTTGGGATTTACGCCTAACACAAGGGTTATTTCCAGTCGTCTAATTAGGAAATTTTTGCAAGGCTGAGTGTACTGCTAGTTTACTCACCCAGAAAGTATTATGGAGGATGGAGTTGAGGTGCAACTAGCGTCCATAATACTTCATGAGGAAGTCATCGGGCAATTGTAGTGTCTCTCGTATCTTTGCACTAAGGGCGAACAAAAATTGGCTTGTACGGCCTGACATTGTATATAAGATATGAGGGTAGCGTGGAGCAAAGACGATATCGCCAGCTTTTCACGACTACTATAACGCTTTCGATAACGAAATAATTCACTCTATTCATCTTGACATCCAAACATGATACCCGTAGTCTTTACGTCACCGCTGGGTCCCGCCTCCGCAGCCGCACAAGGTCAGGGACAAGGTCAGGGACAGACACAGAGTCAGTCTTCTTCGCAAGCCAGTACATCACAGTCTTCGAAGGTACGCTTCTGAATTTTGATATCAGCGTTGGGACTTTGCTGAAAGGTGCAGTAACTCAGATTGATTCAACATAAGAAGCCATACGCATGACAATCACGGTCTCATGAGTAAGAACCGGGCACAGATCAGAAAGACTGAGCAGTGGAGATGGGAGAAAGTCACCAGGGGAGGTGGAGAGAAGACGTTTTCCAATATTACCTGTTCGTCATAATTTCTTGGTGTTGAAATATAGATACACTTGGACATAAAGCAGCGGTCTCGTGCAAACCGACCATTTGGATGAATGCGCTCTCTGTTTCAAAAAGCAGCCATCGATAGAAGTTCGTAACACTATCTGTTTCTTCAGGAACAATAGCGAAGTCCTCTAGGGTCAGGCACAGATTTTGTGATCTTAACCTCTTCATGTACAGCCGTGATCTACAATTCCTTCACATACGACCATAGGAAACTGAAAGCAGAATTCCCCGTTCGATCAATTGTACTTAAGCAGTTTACCGGCGGATTAGTAGTCGGGTAGGTGACTACTGGCGAATCCCCGCTGTCGTATGTTTTTTTTTGTCTACGTGTGAAATTTTTGCTAGTGGAATGTGGGACCATGAGGCTAAGCTAAATTAACTGGTTAGCCCACATCAAACACCAGGCTAAGACTAATTACGACTTTGTATTTTCTTTGGTCTAGAAGTTTTGGCTGGTCAAGAGCAAAAACCGTATATCTGACCCACATACAACTTAGGCTTGCAACCATAGTACGAGATGAAGGGCTTGTGTGACACAAAAGGCTTGGAAATGAGCTAGAGCATTCTAACTTGAATTAGGATGCTGTAACGCCAGCTCGAAAACAAGGAATAAAAGGCCTTCATTGCCTTAGTGTGTTGGTACAATAATTTGTTCAGACATCACGTGCTAGCGCACCACGCTAACCTCACGCGACGCGTCAGGCCCTCACTTTCCACACCTTGCACCACTTACTCGCAGCCGCCACTCCCAAGATTCAAGCCATCTCTCTTCTGTCTAAGCCTGAGAAACTCAATATCCTGTTTGGTGCTGAAACTCTCTCAAATCAATTATGGACCACCCACAAACGCCCCGCGTCCTAGCCCCCCACCTTTCAAACTTCCAACATCGCATCGTGCGCATGCTGGGCAAAGTGGTGCAACTACGTGGCGAGACGGCGGTCATCGACGCAGGAGGTCAAGTCGATGTTATTCTGACGAGGGTACGTGTTTCTGCTTGCTGGTGTGCTCGAAAAGAGAAAGGAAGAAACGGGATAAGGAGGGGAAAATAGCATAGTGCAAGAAGACAACCAAAACTGATCAATTGTCACTGACACAAAACTCAGGACTCCCACCTTACTGTCGGTCATGCAGTAGAAATCATCGGCAAAGTAGATCAGAATTTGCACATCAAGGTACAAGCGGCCACGGATTTTGGCACGAACATTGGTATGTTATTTTCCTTTTCGTCTTTTCGCGCACCAGAGAAGTATGCTGTTACTGTTCTTGATGCTTTTATCGTTGGGAACAAGGGGGGCTAATATAACATGCCAACACAGATTTCAATGCGGCAAATGCAGTAGTGGAGGCGACGCACCGGTACAAAGAGATCTTCTACGACGACAACTAGGTTTCGCTGGATATCTAACGACTTGCTTTTCTGGATTGGGGTGCTGGTATGATGAGCGGAAGAAGAGGATGACGGCAGCTAGGGCCAATCATAGCCCAATTTATCAGACGAATCTCGAGCTTCGTTCGAAACCAGAGAGTTCATGACAAAGAACCGATGTTACTTGTGAACAAGAAAAAATTCCAGAATTTACGATCAGGCAATATGTATATTGAAAAAAAAGTGATACGCGTTTTGCTTCTCAAGTACATGGTATCTTGCTCAAACGCCGCCCTGCTCATGTCAAGTAAAACTCCTATACCAAACCCCCGAAAATGCATACGAATTTCTAATGCAAGACGCTAAACTCATTCCAAGGGTAAGACAAACAAACGTCGTCTACAGCTTACTTCGCACACCCTCGAGTCTAAACTTGACATCTTTCAGCTGCTTTGCCGTAGGCTTCCACTGCTCGAACAAGGCCAGCAAGCGCTCGACTTCGTCCCCAAGTTCTTTCTTCACAAAGTCTTCTTCCAGCAGGCCTCTCATAGCCCACGGCAGGAAAAACGGATTCGGATTTGTGGAACTCCCGCTGGGTTCATACTCCTTGACTCGAAGTTTATACATGTCTTCTTTGTTGTCTGGGCTCAGCTTCTCGCCAATAATAGGGATGTTAATTCCCTGGAAACTTCCCGCTGTTGAGGGTCGCTCTTTGCTTGATGGAATAGGAAGCGATGTTGTTTCAAGTGCATGTTGGACGGCAAGGGCGTATACAGCCGGGTCTTCGTAGACACGAGAGTGGCCCTCGCCGCCGTAGAGAGAGCCGGCTAGCGCAGGAGACAGCTCTCGGATGAGGCCGTGGTCGGGTAGCCCAAGATTGCGAAGTTTGAGCGTGAAGCCAACGAGGTGAGTGAGGAAGTCGGGGGCGTGGATGCGGCCGTCTACGAAGACAGCGCGGTAAATATAGGGGTGAGAGAGTGTTGAGAATGTGGATGACTGAAAGAGTATTAGCACTGATTATGCAGGAGAATCGGGTATGTCATACTTCGAGTGATACCAGTTGGTCGTCAATGCTTCCAACGTACAGTATACGCACTCCAGCCCTTAGAACCTCGTCTAGGGCGGCAAGATACATCTGGCTCACTAGGCTCTTAGGGTTCGTGAACTCAAAGAGTTCCGCGGCGATGGAGCCAAGGTACTTGGTCTTGTATTCGATAAACGGTCCCATGTTAATTCCTGCCATTGCGCACACTCCGATTCTCGTGGCATTGACGCAACCAAATTGGATCAGCTTTGCTACGAGCATCATCGCAACCGGCACGCCTTGAGAGTGGCAGGCTACAAGAATAAAATCTGCTTGTTTGATGTGGTCGATCCAATTAAGCAGAAGCTTCCACAGCGAGTTTACACGCTCGGCAATGAAGCCTTCGCCTTCCAACGCAATTTGCTCAATTTCTGGAGTGTATCCGCGTGCCTCTGTCCAATCTTTAATAGCAGCGGCAGCGGCATTCGCGAACCGAATCGATGTGCCTGTTGGCTGGCCCAGCACTTTTTGGATAATAGGTGCAGGGAAGAAACCGTGGACACCGATGGCCACAGCCTTCTTGATCCTCGGTGGAGCAGGGTTGATATGCAGGTGAGGGGAGCCACGCTCGCCCCCGAGAAAATATTGGCGAATCTGTTTCCAAAAGGTCGGTTGTTGCACCATTTGGTACGTGTTTCTGAACTCTGGCAACAGAAGGTTTGGCGGTTCCTGCTTGCCTTTGCTTGCTTGCTTTGGAGCTGGCTGGGGAGCGGGAGCCGTCTCAGGTTTCACAGGCTCGCGCACTGGAGAGGTCCTGGTTGGAGTGGCCGTTTTGCTGGAGCTAGGAGTGGCTGTTGGAGTATCTTTTGCAGCAGCCTTTGATTTTGGCCGACCTCGTAATGACGGAAACGATCTCTTGGTTGCCGCTTTCTCTTCAGAGGGTTTTTGCGGCTCCTTGGGGGTCTCTTGATCCGACTTTGGCTGTTCCTGCTCGTTGAACTGCGCCGCCTCTGGATTTGATTGCGAAGGGGTGTCGAAGACTGCCACCTCACCCACATGCTTGTGTGGCCCAGCATCTCCCTGATTCTTTTGTTCTTCTGGCTTCCCTCTATACCAAAACGCCCACGCCGAAGGCTTTGAGGATGCTGATGCCTGCGCGGAAGACGGTCCGGGATCACTTGGCGCAGCTGGCTCGGCAGCAGCAGGCGCTTCTTGTGCGAATGTTATCTCGTCTACTTTGGCCGTTTCGACCGCCTTGA